CGTGCCAAGCGCACACTCACCCCCGACGGACGGAGGACAGACAGACTCAGACTCAGCAACAAGACTAGCGGCGTAGTCTAGACGACAGGCAGCAGCAAAGTCAACAAGCTCAGCAACTAAGGCAGACGTAGCAGCAGACTCAAACGACGGGTCAGTGACAACAGTGACTAGTAGACGCGTGACAGTAGGGTGCTCAGCACGAAACCGGTCAGACTCGGGGTCCGCAACGACAGGCAGAGAAGACGCAGGAGGGGACGGCAGAGGAACACGCTGTGAAGGAGAGGAAGGACGACGGACTACGAGGTGGGTGTCGGGGACAGCCGGCAGACGCGGACGAGGAACACGACGACCGGAACGACCAGAACAGACAGGCGAGACAGGACGCGACGCAGGCTCACGACGCTCAGTAAGACTCCCTAGCTGCTCAGTGTAAGGAGAAGGAGCAGGCAGCGGTGAACCAGGCTGTAACGGAAGACCAGTAGACGAAGGGAGACTAAGAACCTGGTGAAGCACAGAGTCAGGCGGTGGCTGAGACGACGGAGACGGTGGAGCGAAGAACAGGCGCGGCTGTGCAGTGACACCAGCACCAGCAGCTCCAGTACCCCCAGCAGCTCCAGCACCTCCAGCAGCTCCAGAACCTCCAGCGCCAGCACCCTCAGCAGCTCCAGAACCTCCAGCTCCAGTGCCACCAGCGCCAGTACCTCCTGCAGCTACAGAACCTCCAGCGCCGGCACCCTCAGCAGCTCCAGAACCTCCATCTCCAGCGCCACCAGCGCCAGCACCTCCAGCAGCTCCAGAACCCTCAGCGCCAGCTCCTCCAGTACCAGCTCCACCAACAGCAGCACCCCCAGAACCGGCACCTCCAGTCCCAGGGTCTCCAGCCTCAGTGCCTCCAGCAGCAGCACCCTCAGGCTCAGCACCTCCAGTCCCAGCAGCTCCAGTACCTCCAGTACGAGCACCTCCGGGACCAGCACCACTCCCAGCTCCAGTGACGTCAGCAGACGTACCTCGAGCGGCAGAGCCCCGAGCTCCAGAAGCGCGACCCTGACGGCGACCGTACCAGTCGTGCAGCTGCTGCGAGGTGAGTGGCACACGCGGACGAAGGCGGCTACTCCAAGGTAGCCGCGCAACAGCAGACCCTGAACCCTCAGCGCCAGAACCCGCAGCAGCTCCAAAACCTCCAGCTCCAGCGCCACCAGCGCCAGTACCTCCAGCAGCTCCAGAACCTCCAGCGCCAGCACCCTCAGCAGCTCCAGAACCTCCAGCTCCAGCGCCCTCAGCAGCTCCAGAACCTCCAGCAAAAACAACTCCAGTGGCAGAGTCACCAGCTCCAGCACCTCCCGCAGCAGGGCCTCTAGCTCCAGCAGCGCGACCTTGACGGCCAGCGTACCACTCAAGCAGCTGCCGTGGGGAGAGAGGGAGTCGACGACGACAGTGCAGCGGCGAGGCACCAGCGGAGCGACTACGGAGACGGTCGCCCCAGGGAGACTGCTCACCTGACGCCTCAGCGCCCCCAGGCTCCGCACCCCCAGGCTCAGCACCCCCAGAAGCAGCAACCCGAGCAGGACCACCCTCAGTAGGACCTGAGTCACCAGTGACCTCAACCGGCTCAGTCAAGGGAGGAGGGTCTACCTGAGACACACATGAAGGAGCAGGACCGGGAGCGGGGAGGGGGTCTACCTGGGGAGCACCTGGAGCGAGGAAGAGCGGCGGGGGGGGGAGAGGGGCAGTGCGGTAGGGGAAGAGACGGTAAAAGGGAACCCACTCGTCGAACGTGACGTCCTGAGAGGGGAAGACACGACGCGAGGTGGGGTGGTAAAACTGCCAACCAGGCGCGTCAGGGACAAAGCCAAGGAAGACACAGGGAACAGCGCGGGCGGAGAGCTTGTCCGCGGTGGTATCGCGGACAAAGGCACGAGCACCCCAGACCCGGAAACGCGACGCATCGCCAACCTTCCCCGTCCACAGCAGTGTGGGCGAGGTCTCCGGCAAGGAGACACGGGGCCAGAGTTTGAGCTGATGCGCGGCGTACCGGACCGCAAACGGCCACAGAAAATGGGGGGCACCCGCATGGATCATGGAGGTACGAGCGACCTCCATGACTAAGCCAATGCGGCGCTCAGCAACCCCATTCTGCTGCGGAGAGGCCGGAAGGGTGAACGTCTGGCGGATGTCGTGCTCCGCATAGTAGGCTGCCAAGAGGTCTGAGGAGAACTCACCACCTCTGTCAGAGTGCAGACGCAGGACAGGAAAGTCCGACTGGAACCGCTCGCGGAGCTGGAGACGAACAGCGTGGATCCAGGGGATCAAAACATCAGGGACCTCCCCCTTGCTGCGCAAGGGGAAGACCGTGGTGTAACGCGTGTAGTCGTCGACGACCAGCAGGAAGTACCGCTCGTGGCCCTGTCCACGGACGCGGGCTGGGCCCCACACGTCCAGGTGGAGAGTCTGCAGGGGAGCCTCTGTGGGAGGGAACGAGGAGGAGTGAGGAGCGGCGCGCTGCCGCCCCTCGACACAGGGAAGACAGGGAGGAGCAGGCGAGGGTGGTAGAGGAGGCAGAGTCTCTGGAATTCCAGAGACAAGGAAACGGCGGTGCATGCTACGAAGGCGCTGCACCGAGGGGTGACCAAGGCGGTGGTGCCAAAGGAGGGTCTGGTGCGACAGAGCGCGACACGAGCAGGGGGCCGCTAGCTGACCTGACGCAAACGCAGACGCAGACGCAGCTATCTGAGGGGACACAGTGGTGAGTGTGTACAGACTCGAGCCAGGCTCTCGGGTGAACGTGGCCAGGTGCCGACCAGTCCGGGAACACGTACAGTGTGTCACATGCTGACCTCCAGGGGTGAACTGGTCAACCCACACATCCTGTAGGTCAGCTCCACTCACCAAGTTCGTAGAGAACGAGGGGAGGTGAAGACCTGACAGAGAGCCAGACGGGACCGCCGGACACGGCAGGACCGTGGAGGAGTGCGCAAGGACTGGACCCCCAGAGGGGTCTGCCAGGGAGACTGCAACCGGCCGACGGAGCGGCGTGAGTGTGGTGCTGTCGCGGAAGAAGGAGCGGGAAGCACCTGAGTCAAGTGTGAAGGTGTACACTCAGCAGGCGCAGTACCAGAGAGAGCAGACTCACCAGCACCTGGAGCAGCAGCCTCACCAGTACCAAGAGCAGGAGACGCACTCGCACCTAGAGCAGCAGCCTCACCAGCACCTAGAGCAGCAGGCTCTATACCTGGGTCAGGCGGTACGCACAGGGAACAGGCACGGTCAACACTAGTAGGCAATGCATACATGGCAGTGAGAATAGCATCATAGTCTAGAGCAAAGATATCTACCCTCTGTCCAAGCAGCTCCAGCCAGGAGGGGAGCTCAGCCTCGTCGCCAAAATCGGTACGCCAGGCGTCGCTCAGACGGGCGAAGCAGCGGGACTGTGTGTGACCAAGCGTCCTGCAAGGCTGACCGACCCGATCACCTGTGCGAATGACGTACGGGCAGCGAACGGTGCTCAAAGACCCTCTACTCTGAGCGTACCACTCGTGAAGCTGCTGGGACGTAAGTGTCTCGCGTGGACGCCGCTGCAGCTGCAGCTGGCCACTGCCAGAGGCTCCCAACTGACCAGCTCCAGGGTGACAGCTACGACGGCGACCGCCACAACCCCAACTAGCGTACCACTCACTAAGCTGCTGGGGCGTGAGAGACTCGCGTGAACGTCGCTGGAGCTGCATCTGGCCACCGCCAGTAGCAGTAGTAGCAGCAGTAGCAGCAGCAGCAGCAGCAGCAGCAGCAGCAGTAGCAGCAGCAGCAGTCTAGCAGTAGTAGTAGCGCAGGCAGGGCAGGCGCGGCAGGCAGGCAGGTAAGTGCTCACCAGTGGCGAGAAGGGCAGGCTCACAACGGCGGCGACGGCGGGGCCGCGACAGCTGCGGCAGAGCAGGACCGCGTCGGAGGAAGGGCAGGTCCGCGACAGCTGCTGCAGGGCGCGGACGTGACGGCGGCAGAAGGCTCCACGGCAGCTGCTGCAGGGCAGGGTCGCGACGGCTGCAGGAGGCTCCGCGGCAGGTGCTGCAGGGCGGGGCCGCGACTGCGGCAGGGCGCTCCGTGGCAGCTGCTGCAGGAGCGACGGCGGCGTCCAGGGGCAGCCGCGGCGCGCGGGGCTGCAGCGCGCCACGCGGGCAGCGAACGCGACGCGCGGCGCTGCAGCGCGACGCGCGGGCAGCGAACGCGACGCGCGGCGCTGCAGCGCGACGCGCGGGCTGTGGGCGCGACGCGCGGGGCTGCAGCACGACGCGCGGGCTGTGGGCGCGACGCGCGGGGCAGCGAACTGGCGGGGCGGCGCCCTGGCCTAACGGGCCTGCAGGGGCGGCGCGCAGGCCTGACGTGTCTGCAGGCGCGGCGCGTGAGCCTTACGGGCCTGCAGGGGCGGCGCTCTGGCCTAGGGCAGCAGTGGGCAGTACGAGGGCTGCAGGACGGCGCGCGCAGCGCAGCACGTCACAAGGCAAGGCAGGCAGGCAGGACAACACGTGGGGTAACACGGTAACCGCAACGGTAGGTGGGCCCGAAAAAAAAGCGGTCCTACGGACCTAGTGCTCTGAAACCATGTCAGAATCAAGCAGCAGGAATGGATGAACTATGAAAGAGTTGGGTACAAGTATGAAACCCTAAAAGGGGCTGTACCCCATATTGGCTACCCCACTACAGCCTACACATATATAACATGCATATACTTTGACACCTCTGTACCTCCATTCTCTGCCCTCTGCACTCCCTCCCCATAAGGTTCACATCAGTGCGCCCTCAAGACTGCACATAAACCTAGATATAGGCTAGGCAACAAACAGAAACTAACCGGTCGCACAAATTCATCTGGTCAGCACGTTAAAATAATACCAACGAAAGTTATAGCAGCTAAGTGCAATATGTAATGGCGGCAGCACATAAACGACAAGGAAGTCACCAGAACCTACAACAAACTAGAGTGCTCTAGAGCTCGAAACCCCGATCCAAGGCTAAAAGATCTCCGAATCCGGGATGACGGGGATGAGGAACTTGCGAACGTCCTGATTGGCCTCAAGGTGTTCCCTTCGAGGCTTGACACGCTCAGGTGTTGGCTGCAGGGGCAGGATGGCATCCCTGTCAATGACAGCATCAATAAGGCCATACTCCATGGCCTCCACTGGCGACATGTATCGGTCACGATCAATGTCCTTCTCCACCTGCCACAAGGAAAAACAAAATAAGATTCTTGATACAAGTGGAAAAGCGAGTAACAGCACAGGCTTCATGGAGATCAACGAGGAAGCGAGGGGCAGGATAGGGGCGAGAGAGAGAAACAGAGAGAAAGAGAGAGAGAGAGAGGGGGAGAGAGAGAGAGAGAGAGGGAGAGAGAGAGAGAGAGAGGAAAAGAACACACACACACACACACACACAATATCATGCCTTGCTCCGGCAGTGGGTACAGGTGGTGGAGTTACCTGCTCAGCGGAGCGCCCAGTGATTTCAGACAGTATCCTCGCGATATTGGACTTGTGGTACATAATCTCCTTTGCCTGTTCAAAGGTAAGAGCCGGAAGGGCATGGATGGGGGAGGGATGTGCAGACAGCAGATGTCATCCTGTGGGCAAACAGAACAACGCAATTGAACACTCCCTGCTCCCATTCCCAATTTGCTGCGCCTGGTCAGCTGTCAGGCCCAAAAAGACCTCTTGGTGTTTCTCCCGCAGGGATTCATCCCGGCGGAATCTCTGTGGGCGGAATCTCTGTGGGCGGAATCTGGGACCTCACCTGGATCTCCACGTCGATGGCCTGTCCGCTGGCTCCGCCCATGGGCTGGTGCATCATGATGCGCGCGTTCGGCATGGCCATGCGCCGCCCCTTGCTGCCGCCCGCCAGCACCACCGCTGCCGTGGACGCCGCTAGCCCGAACGCCACCGTGGAGACGGGCGCGCGGCAGTAGTTGATCGCGTCGTAGATCGCCATGGCGGCGCTGCACGGGCGAGCGAGAGAGAGAGGGGGAGAGCGAGAGAGGGAGAGAGAGAGACACCGGAGGGGTGGGGGGGGAAGGGGGGGGGGAGGAGAGGGGGAGGGGAGGGAGAGAGGAACAGGACCGATGAGCGAGCGGGGAATGGGGGGAAAAAGGAATGAGACTGAGGCTGGAAAGAGCGCCTTCACTAGTGTCAACGTCTGCTCATGTTCCTCACGTCATACCGCCGGAGACCATCCCTTCATCTCCTCCCCTCGCCCTTCACTCTCCCTCCTCTGCCAGCTAAAGGTCAGCCTCCTTACCCCCATCTGCGGGCATCTCCTCACCGCCGCACGCACCCGTCTCCTCCTGTTCTCAGTCTACTTCCGGTCCTGAAGGTTGTTCATCCTGGGTCAGCTAACACGGCGCATGTCGCTTTGTGACGGCCTTTCTGTTTAAAATAAAACTGCACTTTCTGTGATGCCCTTGAGGTGCTAAGTCTACTGTCGGCTCCGGGGCGGAATAACCGTTCCAGTCGATTCTCGTCCGCGATCCACGGATCCAGCTATTGGAATTCCCATGCAACCGAAATCATTGCGCGTCAACGCAATCACCGCGAGCCGACTAACCCCTAAGTAACACTGTGCCGGCGCTCCGCTACCCACAAGCGACAGTCTCAGCTATCCTTAACCTAATCTCAATAACCCGCTCGCAAACCAAAGGGCCGCAATCGCGACCCGGGCCTACACGAAAGGAACCGCAATACCTGATGGAACCGCCGGGGCAGTTGACGAAGAGCCGGATGTCGCGGTTCGGATCCTGCGAGTCGAGCAGCAGCAGCTGGCTCACGATCGCGTCAGCGACGAAGTCGTTGAGCTCCGCGCCCAGGAACACGATGCGCTGCCGCAGCAGCAGCCCCATCACGTCCGCCTCCGCGTGCCGCTGCGCCGCAGCCGTCGACGGGGACGACGCCGTCACGAGCGTGTCGCTGAACGCTTGCGCGAAAGGGTTTAGCAGAACGGGGGAAGCGGAGGCCGATGCGGCAGTGGCGGACAGGAAGACGCTGGCGGAAGCGGCAACGGCGGCATTGCGGGCTCTCGGCGCGGAGGACGACACCCGCGCGGTGTCGAACGACCTCTCGATCGCTGCCGTGCGCGATCGGTCTGGGCACGCAATGTGCGAAAGGCTCGACCCGGTGGTCACGGCAATAGAGTGAAGAGCCATGGCGGGCGGAGAGTACGGACAGGCAGGGAGAAATCGTGCGACAACAACACTCAAGGCTTGCGGAGGGATGGTTGCAGGGAGAAAAGCCGCGGATTATCCTAGAAGGGGGGGAAACACTGGGGGAGAGTCATCCGCCAGTACCCGTAGGGCGGAATGCGGATGATGTGGGTGACGAGGAATGATGGGGTTGGCGGAGGCCGAGGTGGCTGGCGGAGCGGCCACGTAAGTGCTGCTTTTATTGGGTCAATCGAGATTGACGTGAGATTCATTTGCCAGACACTGTTGCTGACCCTAATATAATGTGCCAACAGAACTAAGGTTAAAAAACCCTCATGGTACATAGCAACACGAATGGCTAAAAGAAGGCTACGTGCTGCATTTCTGCTACAGTTTCATTGGCCCATCTTGTAAAACATGATTACTACTTTGGGGTAGCCTGAAAATTCAGGGCTCGTACGAAAAAATATCAGGCAAAAATACAATTTGACGCTATAAAAAACCTAGTGACGCCCTCAACCTTCTGACAACCCTAACCGATGTTTCCATGCCTTTTATCGTTTTTCAGTCACCCCTTTTCGACCCCTCAATTTGCGAATTGGGACGACATTTGACCTTGCCTTCTCCACTGCGATAATCTAACATCTCCAACAACCATAGTTTGGTCAGCGTTTATAATACGCTGTTGCTTGAGATCGGATATTCGTTGCGACTCATGTACTAAGTGTTAGAAGTTTATAACTTATTGATTGCATTATGTGAGAGGGACAACTGCTCTGCTACATCAAGTGCTTCCTTGTTGCCATTCGGATACGTCATGGCCTGGAGACGGGTGTCTCCCATTCCCTCACAATGGCACCCCTTTCCTTCCCCCTATGTGGTAATATAGGAGCCCTAGCCGTGCCCTGCTGCTGCTCTCCACCCTTAATTCTAGCAGCTCCACTAGTGCTACCGCTAGTCTTCATACCATTTCCACCATTCGCAGATGCCTCTAGTACTCTCTCTCCATCACCACCATCTGTAGCTGCCTCCTTTCCCTCCTCCCACACACCGGGAGTCCAGTTCAGCTGCATGGTGATCTGCTCCATCTGCTGAGACACTTTTGCCTCCAACTGTTTCTCCCAGCCCCCATACATCAGGCCCTCAACAAACTTAACATCCCTGCTGTCAAACATCACACTCTTGCATGGTTTCCACATGAGCTATTCTTTTCTTGTAGCAGTTAGCCCCAAATGCACAAACCAGATTGCACTTTCCTCCAGCTTACTTCGGTGAACTTTGGGGATGTGGGCGACTGCCATGCATTCGAAGACCCTCAGCATATCCACCGGTGGCTTCCTCCCTAGCCACATTTCCAAATGCACCCGGGAGTCATTATCATCCTTAACCTTGGTGAGCACCCTGTTTTTAACAACGATAGCGTGCCAGACATCATGGGTCCACATGGAGTTCCCCAACCCAGATTCTAAGAGCCGCGCCCTAGCTGTCTCCATTATGGGCCGGATCGCCCGTTCTGTTACACCGTTGGACTGTGGGATGTAAGCCGTGGTCAGCCGGGCCGTCATCTTAGCCCCAAGAAACTAACCACATCTATCTGATCGGATCAGCTTCAGCACGCACTCCGACTGTTTCTCTACAAAGGCCAGTAAGTGAGAGACAACATGGTCCTTATGCTTCAGCGGATACACCCTGCTCCAATCATCCACAGTGGTCAGGAAATAACGTTCTCCCTCGTGCCCTTGAACTGGCAGCGGCCCCACCAAGTCCATGTGGACTCTCCAAATGCTCATTGCTCCTGCCAACCATACTATGGAAGGGGAAATAGGTGATTTTGTTTAATAGGCATATCTCACAATTGTCCTCGGGTCGTTGTCCGTTCAGCTTCAGACCCTTAACGGCCCCATATTTCTATAGTTGCTTCAACAAGGGCATTGCCACGTGCCCAAAGCGTCGGTGTGCCATAGCCCAATCCGTCTCCCCAGATATGGCCGACACTTTCACACCAACTGCTCCAACGGCGTTGCACTCCCCCTTGGATGCAGACTCCTCTTTAGCCTGCCCCCTACAATGTCACGCCAGCGCGGGCTGCTACCACATCGATCTGTACGCATCCTTGCTCTCGTGCAGATCCCAAAGCAACAGATTGCCCAATTGCCCCTTATACGTGCGTGACCCATCCGTGCTTGTGCTCACTCCAGCTTACAGAAGGAAATTAGGTTGGCTTTGAGGTTAGGGACAAGCAGAACGTCGTGCAACACCACAGTCTTGCCATCCACTCATTTGAACGCGCTCGTCTCGCTCCAGCCACCTTCAGCGCGTGTCTGGGCACAAACCACCTCGGGGATTGGTGCAACAAGTACGTCGGCCAGCAGGTCCTTTCGTGGTGTCATCGTCCACGCAGCGCCGTCAACACCCAAAAGTCCAAGGGGTGCAAATCTGCTCCAACTTTGGCAGAACCTTCTCTTTTCCCCCCCTCAACACGGAAGAATTGGCACGCTTCGCGCTCCTTTTTCTTCTCACCATCGTCGTTTCCGTTCGAGTTCTTGTTGAACGAATATGCAACCATGTTCGCGCCGTTTTTCTGGTTGCTCTTCGCGGCCATCACGGTGGCGATTCTGGGACGTCCATCATTTGAGTTTCATGTAACACAAGAACCAGGGATGCCTTTCCTTCTCACAATACCAGCAGGACCCTTTCATTTTGCCACCAGCACCCGATCTGCTCCCGCGTCCAAATTTCCAACTAGTACCTTCTTGTTGATCGTTGGAACCGTCGACTTTCTTTGCACCGTGCCCTGCACCGCGAAAGCCACGTCCTCTGCCACGTCGGCTCCCTTGCAATGCTGTAGCTGCTGCTGCCGTCGTCTCTACCCCTCAATTGTTGGTGGCGGAAATCCTCTTCCAGAATCTTCGTCCGCACCCACTCAAGGGTCAACAGATGTGAGGAGACAGCCACATGCGGAGGAGATGGCAAGCAGAGGCATTTAGTTAGGGCTAAACTCTAACCTGCCGTAGCAGGTGAGGCGGCAGGCGACAGCCTAAGATACAGGGCAGGCTCGCGGCAGGTGCTCGCGGTCGGCACGTAGCTGTTAAGAACTGAAATTAGTAGCTTAGGAACGTAGCGAGAGTTACGAGAGAGAAGAAGGGGTTGCACTAACAAGCAAGGTACAAGATATAGGTAGGGAAGGTGGCAAGGGGGGTACACCACCAACAGATAGAAACCTAGAATGATACTACACTAACTAGTATACATGCAGTTATAAGAATATAATTCTAACATCTCCCCTAAACTGCATGCAAGACTAGCTAGTGAGGGGCAGTCACCCATAGTGGTGCAGTCACCGAGCACCAGCTTGAACCACCGTTGTTAAACTCCCACGGCAGGTGCCCGGCTGCGGTTGAACCCCCGCAGCAGGTGCCCAGTGTGCGCGTCGGGGAGCGAACATGCCCAGAAACGACAGAGCTAAAGAAAGGCGACGACTTGTTGCCCGATGGTCAAGAGAGAAAACAAAGGAGGAGAAGGAGAGGGGTGCAGCGGAAGGTAGGGGGAGGAGGGGCGGCTGCATTGTCATACCCGCCACCCCCACACCCTCTCCCCTCCCCCCCCCAATGCGGCACGCACAGTAATTGCAGATGTAGCGATAAGGAGGAGGAAAAGGGAGGGGTGGGGGGTTCAAGGGGCTTCAGCACCCCTGCAGCCGCGGGCGCGAGTCCCACCTCAGCCCCCCCACAACTTCCGCCGTAGCAGGGCGCGGCAGAGAAGAGGGCGGGGAGCGGGATGGCGCTGGCGGGGGCGGCGCAGGCGCGGACGGTTGCTGCCGACGTCCCACCACCCCCTTCCCCCCTTCCTCCCCCTCACAGCGACCGCCCCCGCATGCGCGCAGGGTCGGGATGGAGGGGGCGCACGGGGGCGCGTCGAAGACGCAGCAGTGGGGCGACGCAACGGCGGAGGGGCGGGGCGACGGGGCGGGATGAGGCACGCGACGGGACGGCCGGGACGAATGGCGTTGCGGGCTCGCTCGCCAGCAGAAGGTATCGTGCGTGCTTCATTTTGCGACTATCTCGTTGCTCGTCGCGGCGGTTGCATTGCAGGCCATCAGCAGCTGCAGACGAGGGTGACGGAAAGCCCGCATGGCTTCAAATCGAACGAACGGCCTAGGGTCGAAACACGGGCCCTTATAACATGTTAAGAACTGAACTTAGTAGCTTAGGAACTTAGCGAGAGTTACATGAGAGAAGAAGGGGTTGCACTAATAAGCAAGGTACAAAATATAGGTAGGGGAGGTGGCAATAAAGGTACACCACCAACAGATAGAAACCTAGAATGATACTACACTAACTAGTATATATGGAGTTATAAGAATATAATTGTAACAGTAGCAGGTGCGGCGGCAGGGCCCAGCAAGGGCGGGAGGCAAGCAGCTGGCGCGCGGCTGGCTCACAGTGGCAGGGAGGTTCGGATGGCGCGGGAGCGGCAGGCGCGGGTGCGGGCAGGCGTGGTACTAGCTGGCGCGCGGCAGACGCGGCAGCGCTGGGGCGGGCTCGCAGTCGCGAGCGGCGGCGGCGCATGCGCGGCAGGGGCCGGCAGGTGCGAGCGCGGCAGCAATAGACACGGGCGCGGCCACAGCATTCACGACGGTAGCAGGCGCGGGCGCGGCAGGCGCTGGTGCATGCGCGGTAGTAGGTGCGGGCGCGGATGGTGCTGGCGCGAACGCGGCGGTAGGCGCGGATGGTGCAACGGGGCCGCTAGGAGGGGCGCTAGGGCGGGGTGCTAGGGCGGGGCCGCGAGAGGGGCGCGACGAGGCCGCAAGAGGGGCGCGACCGGGACGGCTAGGTGGGGCACTGGGGTGGGGCGCGACGAGGCAGCTAGGCGGGGCGCTATGGCGGGGCGCATGAGGGGCGCACTAGGGTTAGCTATAGGAAGCGGGGCAGAAGCGTATGTCCTAACCTAGCTCTGGTACCATGATAAAATTGAAGAATGAATGACTAGCACGAATATACAAGGGGGTATATGAAACGTTCCATGGTTTAGGTGGTGCAACCCTACCTAGCTTATAGAGTATACATAACAATATATATACCTGTACGCTTACACCACGCCCTTACCATTGAATGCATTTTCTTCACGACGTCGCGCAGACATGACCGTGGCTTGCCGACGGGAATAGTGAGCCTTTGGTGTCAAAATACAGTTGCATGTCTGTAGGCTGTAGTGGGGTAGCCCATATAGGGTACAACACTTCTAGGGTTGCCTACTTGTATTGCTCCCAAACCCTAATGCAATCATTCCTGTTCACATATTCTAACATGGTATTAGAGTAGGCTCGTTCTTAGGGCCCACCGAACGTTCCGCCCTGCCCTGCCCGTATTTTTTTTCTTCTACCCTCTGCCCAGCGCTCGCTCGCCGCCCTGCCCTGCAGCCCACGCGCCGCACTGCCCTGCCCTTAGGCCTGCGCGCTGCCCTGACCTGCAGCCCGCGAGCCACGCTGCCCTGCCCATAGGCCCGCGCGTCGCCCTGCCCTTAGGCCCGCGCGTCGCCCTGCCCTTAGGCCCGCGCGCCGCCCTGCCCTTAGGCCCGCGCGCCGCCCTGCCCTTAGAGCCGCGCTGCCCTGCCCTCAGGCCCGCGTGTCGCCCTGCCCTTAGGCCCGCGCGACGCCCGGCCCTTAGGCCCGCGCGTCGCCCTGACCTTAGGCCCGCGCGCTGCCCTGCCCTGCAGCCTGCAACCGCGCTGCCCTGCCCTTAGGCCCGCGCGCCGCCCTGCCCTGCAGCCCGCGCGCTGCACTGTCCTGCCCTTAGGCCCGCGCGTCGCCCTCCCCTTAGGCCCGCGCGTCGCCTGGCCTTTTGTAAAACTAAAATTGTTATGGTTTGTATTTGCTAGTCTAGGTGGTGTACACTTATGTTTAGGGTTGGCTAGGGTTGACCAGGGTTTGCTATATCTTCCTTGTCTTTGTCATTTCTAGTCATTCGTTATTCCGTTACCTCGTTGACATGGTATAGAGCAGTTCGATTCCCGTGGGCCCACCACCCCGCGCTCGCCCGTTCGTAACGCGTCACACGTAGTGCCCCGTCACCCCTTAGCGCCAGCCCCCCCTCCCCCCCCCCCCCCCCCCTTCCCCCGTCGAATCGCGCGCTAGAGAGAGACCCCCGCGGGTCCCCCCACGTCACGTCCTAGGAAGGCCCTTGCGGGTCCCCCCCGAATCCCGAGCTAGAAATCCCCCGCGGGCCCCCGAATCGCGAGTTAGAAGGACCCCCGCGGGTCCCCCATGTCGCGACCTAGGAAGGCCCCCGCGGGCCCCCCGAATCGCGATCTAGAAGGACCCCCGCGGGACCCCCCACTCGCGACCTAGGAAGGCCCCCGCGGGCCCCCGAATCGCGAGCTAGAAGGACCCCCGCGGGTCCCCCCACGTCGCGACCTAGAAAGGCCCCCGTGGGCCCCCGAATGGCGCGCGCGTTAAATGGCGCTTCCCCCCCCCCCCGTAGCCCGTCGCCCCGCAGGCCTCCCCGCCGCGTCCCTTCCCCGTCGCCTCCCCGTCGCGTCCCTTCCCCGTCGCCTCCCCGTTGCGTCCCCTCTTCGTCGCCTCCCCTTCCCCCCGTCGCGTCCCCTCTTCGTCGCCTCCCCTCCCCCCTACCCATCGCGTCCCCTCCCCACCGCCCTGCAATCCGCCAGCTCCGTACGCCAGCCCCGTCGCGCCCCCGTACGCCAGCCCCGTCGCGTCTCAGTCCGCCAGCCCCGTCCCCCAGCCCCGTCCGCCAGCCCCGTCGCGTCCCCTCCCCGTACGCCCTGCAGTCCGCCAGCTTCGCCTGCCACCAGCCCTCCAGAACCGCCCAGGAAAGTTTAGAACCGCCCAGGACCGTCCAGAACCGCCCAGAGCCGCCCAGGACCGACCAGAACCGTCCAGAACTCCCCAGGACAGTCCAGGACTGCCAGAACCGCCCAGAACCGCCCAGGACCGCCCAGGACCGTCCAGAACCGTCCAAAACCGCCCAGGACCGTCCAGGACCGCCCAGAACCGCCTCTGAACCGCCCAGGACCGTCCAGAACCGTCCAGAACCGCCCAGGACCGTCCACGACCGCCCAGAACCGCCCAGAACCGTCCAGATCCGCCCAGAACCGCCCAGAACCGCCCAAAACCGTTCCCCAACGCCAGAACCAGCAGCAGCATAGGCTGCCCCCAGCAGAACCAGCAGCAACATAGCCTCCCCCCCCCCCAGCAGAACCAGCAGCAGCATAGGCTGCCCCCAGCAGAACCAACAGCAGCATAGGCTGCCCCCAGCAACACCAGCAGCAGCATAGGCTGCCCCCAGCAGACCCAGCAGCAGCATAGGCTGTAGCCAGCAACCATTGCGCTCGGCCGTCTCTAGCGCCTACCATGGCGTATGCTAGAGTTCTGCGGCAGCAGCAGGGTCAGCCGCAGCGACAGCAGCTACAGCACTCCCGGCAGTGGGGACCTGAGGGTCCTAGGAGTACTGGCCGCAGCAGCGGCTCAGCCAGTAGTGGGCGCGACGTCGGTCCCTGCGGGTACCGGATCCTGACTGGCCCGGGTGCTGGTACCACCTGCTGGAGTCCTGACCACTCTACGTCCCGCTGCTACCCTTGCCTCGACGACCTCCACCGTGAGCGTTTTGGTCCTCACGCTATTACACCGCACTGGCCCTCGCGTCTTCGCCTGCGCACTGCTGCACCAGTTGAGTCTCACCGACCTGGTCTAGGACCGTTCCCGGCTGCACGAGTAGAGACATGTGTTTCCAGTCTTGGTGCGTGTGTTGGTTCGAGTCTGGGCCCCTCTGAACGTCTTTGTGTAGGAGCTGCAGCTACCACTAGTCTAGCACAAGCCTTTGTCGCTGGCTCGGGTGCGACCTCACAGACTGCACAGCTTTCCTTCACCCTAGACTCTGGAGCGTCCAGCTGTTTCTTTCGCGACTGTACTGACCTCACACCACTTCGCACTCCAGACACTGTCGCCTTGGCTGATCCCATCGTGGGACCTGTAGTTGCCCACAGCACCACCACTCTCCCGTGTCCAGCGGCTCCTTCTGGGTTTCTCACAGGTTACTACACCCCCTCGTTCTCCAGGAACCTGGTGGGTGTCAGTCACCTTCACGACCTAGGTGTCGTCACTACTTTCCCACTGGACGAGCCTGTTGCCTCCTGCACAGTCGGTGCCACTGGGGCGCCTCTGGCCACTGTCCACAGAGAGCCGAGCTCTGGTCTGTACTCACTACACACTAGGTCCCACTACACAGGGTCAGGTCAGGTCAGTTCAGGTCAGGTAGCTGCTGTGTCGTGCGACTGTCGGTCACTCACCCACCCGTCGGTCCTCTGGCACCACCGTCTAGGTCACCCGTCGTTCCCACGTCTCAGCAGGATGGCACGTTACCGTCTGGTCTCAGGTCTCCCAGAGTCGCTTGCACCGCTTCCCCGCTCGCCTGCGCCGCCGTGCACTCCTTGCGTCGAGGGTCGGCAGCGCGCTGCCCCTCACTCCTCCTCGTTCCCCCCCACCACGGCTCCCTTCCAGACCCTGCACTTGGACGTCTGGGGCCCCTCCCCGGTCCTTGGCCCAAGTCAGGAGCGCTACTTCCTGATTGTGGTGGACGACTACTCTCGCTACACCACAGTTTTCCCTTTGCGACGGAAGGCCGACGTGCCTACCGTCCTCGAGCCGTGGGTACTAGAGAGGGGTGACTCCCAGGGCCTTTGTGGGCTCCGACTACACTCGGACCGTGGTGGTGAGTTTTCTTCCACTCGCCTGGAGACGTTCTCTCAGGGTCAGGGGATCATCCAGTCTTACACGCTACCAGCCTCGCCGCAGCAGAACGGGGTAGCCGAGCAACGCATCGGCCTGGTCATGGAGGTTGCCCGGACCTCCATGTGCCATGCCGGTGCCCCCCCAGTTCTTGTGGCCTCAGGCAGTCCGCTACGCCGCGCACCAGCTGAACCTGTGGCCCAGTGACGCACGGCCACGGGTGACTCCGTTCTCCCTTTGGACAGGTTCTCGGGGCGTGGCAGCTGACTTCCGAGTCTGGGGTTGTCTGGCTCACGTTCGCGCCCCTGGCGCGAACAAGTTGTCTCCGCGCACTCGTGCCTGCGTCTTTCTTGGCTTCCCTTTGGACACTGCCAGCTGGGTGTTCTACGACCCACTCACCTACGAGTTCTTCAGTTCCCAAAACGTCACGTTCGACGAGTCTGTCTGTTACTACAGGAGTCGCCCCCACCGAGATACTGATGTCTTTCCCCCCCCCGCTGTTCCTCACCCTTGAGCCCCCCCCAGTCGCCCCGGTAGCACCCCCCCCCTTCGCGTCCTGCCCCGTCAGGTGTGTCGCACGTCACTCCGCAGTTGTCCCCCTCGCAGCGTCCAGTCCCTGTCGTGTCTGGGGGTGCGGGAGGTGCAGTTGCGGAGGGCGAGGGTACTGGGGCTGCTGGAGCTGGTGGTGTCGGCTCTGGGGGTGCAGGGGGTGCGGGCGTGGAGGTCACTCCCGTGGAGGACACGGCAGCCTCGACTAGGCGGCCTCGCCCAGCGTCACCCCCTGGCTTCCCGTCCGTCCCGCAGTTCCCTCCTCGTTCTTCTCTGCGGCCGGTTGCTGCGGAGCCTGGGGGTGTTCATGCGGGAGGTACTGGAGGCCCCGAGGGCGTCGGTGGTGGAGGTGCTGGTTCTGGGGGTGCTGGAGCTGGAGCTGGAGGCACTTGCACTGTGGCGCCTACACCGCGCACTGTATGTTTCCAGACCTGTGAGCCGGCTGGAGAGGGAGGAGCGTGAGCGGTTTGAGAGGGAGCAGCAGTAGCAGCAGGAGCGGTCTCAGTCTCAGTCGCAGCAGCAGGAGAGAGTAGAGGAGGAGTCACAGCAGCAGCAGGTGCAGTTGCAGCTGCAGCAGGAGAGAGTAGAGGAGGAGTCACGAGT